AGCAATACTCAATACTTTAGAGAGAGAGGCTCTCAAGGAGTAATTGCAGAGAGAGAAGCGTAGAGATTAATTACCTTCATCGGAGGTAGTTGGGGGGTATTTATAGCACCCTGGTGCTGACATACATCTACACGTGTGAGCACCCCATTGGCCCACGTGGTGCTGGTCACGTGGGTATGCTTGCACCGATGCTCCTTCAGCTTGGGCTAATAGGTGGTAACCTAGGCCCGTTATGCATAGCCCAGCCCTGTTTGGATGTTGGGCTGGGCCTATTCCAACATTACTCCCCCCCAAGTGTTCGGTTGACGAATTGGGATGGATGTAGCCACGGGCCAACGTTGTTGGGCTGGCAGCTTGCGGCCGACCTCGACGAGGGCTGAGCTGAAAGGTAAAACACGAAGAGGCGAGCTCGCGAGCCTGAGAACGTGTGGGCGAGCTGGTATTCATAGCCATATTAGTGTGGGTTCGTTATGGCGGCGAGCTGAAGTGATTCGCAACAGACGAGCTTGCGTGTGATGTACCGCCCGATCAGCTCGTCCATGTGACGACCTGACCTTTGAGTACTACCGACGTGCGACCAGTGCGACTTGAGTTTTTTGACCACCACTTTATCAGCCCGCACGAGTGGTGCTGCCAAATAGGGTGACCTGGGGCACCCATTGATTTATGCGAAGGTTTGTGGCCTGTGTGTGAGCTGCAATCCGTGTAACGACCTGACGAATGTGGTTGTCGTCACGATGTGTGACGAGCTGAATCATGGGGGGATTTTAGCAAAAAATCTACACTGTTGAACGAATTGTCACAGTTGAGCCGATCTGGCAAAATGTCATGTTTGTAACGACCTGGCAAGTGTGCTCGCTATGGCGAGCTGATGTGACAGTACAAGGTACACATCAGCAGTGACGATCTGAATCTTGGGATTTTTTGAATCAAGCAGATCTCTGAGGAGATACGGAAGCAGATCTCTGAGGAGATACGGTTGATCTCCCCGTATCCCTTTGTCTTCCCCGTCATAAATGCTGGCTCAGCATTTGAGGGACGTGACAGCTAAGGCCGGCGCACGTTATGCAGAAGGGACGTTAAGCGTGTGCCACGTGTATGACGCGAATTGGCGCGTCAGAAACACGCGTACGGCAATTAACACTACAATATCCTTCTCTGCGTAACCGTTTCCTCTTTCATTTTCATTTTTGTGTTTGCCAAAACTTTCCAAAATTCTCTGAAGCAAAAACGCTCCAGCTTGAAGAATCAGTACATCGAACCAACTTCACATCAGTTTCAGGTAAAAATGGTTTCATTGAGAGAACTCATAGAGCAACGAGGTAACCAGGGCAGAGAGGGAGAAGAGGGAGGGGTTTTGTCAGTGGAGCCTATCATGATGATAGTGCCGCCGGAGTTGCAGGATGTGCCGGAAACAATGGCGTCTGAGAGCAGCACGAGTTCCAGCGCCAGTGACAACGGTGGCGACCACCCTAGTGCGCCATCGAGCAGCTCGTCCGAGGGGACACCAGGCCGCGAGGAGGGGGCAGGTGATGTAGTGAGCCATGTTTCAGATCGGCCTGTGATGGAAGAATGGGAAAGCAGGACCATCACGGGCAGGTTGAACAACCTGCGAAAGGCGCCGAAGGACCTGCCAGCCGGATTTAGGTTCCGGGCTGCACTTCATCATGAAGTAGCAGACTGCGCGCCCTCAATCAATGGGTACAGGAGATTGGAGGATATGGTGAGGGCGTATCATATTCCCCGGACAATACTGTTACGAACAGGCGCACCCAACGAGAGGGCTTGCACGGTGTCACAGACTGGTTGGATCCCAGTGTATGTGGACCACTTTGACGCCGGCCTACGGTTTCCCCTGCCCGGATTGGTGTTCGACCTGCTGGCGGAATACGAGCTGGCGCTGACGCAGCTGACGCCTAACAGCATAAGGTTCATTATTGGCTTTATGCTGTTATGTGAGCGACTAGAGGTGCCGGCCAAGGCGATCGTGTTCAGGTTGCTGTTTCAGTGCCGGCTGTGTCCGAACTCGCGAGGAGCGAAGTGGTACTACCTCTCAGGGAGGGATAAGAGCCAGCTCTTCAAAAATGTGAGGAACAAGGTGGCGAGGTGGAAGAGACAGTTTATTTTTGTTCGCGACACACGAGAAGAAAGGATAAGCAACAACCTCGCTGCCCGGCTGTCTAAGTGGCGCACCCCCAACGCTCATATCAACTATCCTCAGCTACTGCCTCGAGATGTCGATCTGAAGAACCAGCTGCTGGAGTATGCGCAGGGGGAGGGTCTAATAGATCTAGAAGCCCTGGTTACCTCGGAGGCTCTCGTCGTGTTAGGGTTTGTCGATGTGACAAACCTGTTCAGCGAAGGTATATTTTTATCATATAGTATTAATTCTAGCTGGGCTGAGGCTTATGCGTTTTTCTGTGCAGGAGACATGAGCAGCATCTTGGAACGCCAACGACAGCGAGCCCAAGGCTCACGAGGTCGCGCGTCGGGCAGCGCGCAACCCCGTCAGACAAGGTTTGACGAGCGGCCACCCCCAGCGCCTCAATCACGCGGCCCGTCTCACAAGGGGTCCAGCTCGTCGTCAAGGCCGCGAGCAGATAACAGAGCTGAGGCTGCGGCCCCGGGTGCACGCAGACGTTCACGCGAGGAGACAGAGAGCAAGGAGGACGAGGTCCCCCTTGCTAGGCGCATAAGAAGCGGGGGGACTCAGCCCGCACAGGCGGCTCGTCCTACAACGGTGCGTTCGCCCACCGCACCATCAGCGACTGTGCGGGTAGCAGTGGAGCCCGCCTCTGCATCGGCCTCGATGGGCCCCAGGATTGCTTATCCTGAGGGCTTCAGCTATGTGCAGGCAGAGTGCCAGCCTGCCATGGTGCAAGCCATGCACAGCTTTGTGCCCCCCTCGGACAATAAGCGGGCCAAAGCCTTTGTGCAACAGCATGGCGGTCAGGTCGCCATGATCAAATTAATGGATGTAAGTACTTGCTCGTAGCTGCTTGAATATTTTTCTTTTTCTTTTCAGAGACTAACAGTGACAACTGTTTGGCAGGCGTTCAGCTACGCGGTAGCACTGTACGAGAGTGAGTAGGCGGCTCGTACAGAGAACACCGAGCTCGGAGCAAAGTGCAAACAGCTGACCACAGAGAAGGCTAGCCTTGTGGACGATGTGGATCGTCTGCAAGGCTCTGAGATGGCGAATCGAGCTGCTGCCGCGGAGAGCCGAGCAGACGAGCTCGCTGCCAGGAATAACGAGCTCCGGGAGGAGTTGGATCGAGCGCGGGCTGAAAAGGAAAGCGGGATTCAGGCGGCCAAGGAGGAAGCTGCCCGAGCTGAGGAGCGGGCGAAGAAGGCCGAGGCTGACAGGGATCGTGCTCAGCATGAGCTGAGCTCCCTTAGGCACCAAGTCGCCGAGGCGGACCAGAACCTTGTTGCTGCCGGGGAAGCGCTGAACGAGCTGAAGGCTTCCCATGCACGTTCTGTCGTCATCGCCCGGGCTCAAGGGGCGGAATGGTTCGTTGGCTCGACTGCGTTTCAGGACGCCGTGGCGGTGGCGTCGGCAAATGTAACCACGGAAATCTACAATGAGATCCGTGGAAAAGTACTGCAACACCGCCCGGATTTTCCAATCCGCGAGCTGGTCTTCTTTGACGAGAAGGAGCTAGACGAGCAGGGTAAGAGCCTTGCTCCCCTCGCTGACACAACTGTGAGGCTGAGGTGGGATTTGAACGAGGAGGGTGTGCCCATCTGGCCACCGTCCGCGCTGGAGGACGGGGAGGATCCAGCAGGACTGCCCTCCTTTGACGCATGGGTAGAGGGTGCTCCTGTGGCTGAGCAGGAGCCTTCAAGCACCCCGCCCAACTCTCAGCCCGCTGGGGTGTCAGTCAGCTCACCGGTCAGCGCGCCAGCCTCTGAGCCCGCAGCCCGATCTCCTCCTGCTCGCTCTCCTGCAGCCGCTGCTGATGCATCCATGCCCGTCGACCTGACGGATGACTAGATTTAGGGTTTTTTCTTTTGATTTTTTTGTACCTTGTTTTTGCGTTTTTGTATTTGATCAATGGATCCATATCGCATGTACGTTCAATGTAAACATCTTTGATGAAATACAAAAATGAATATTTCTTTGAATTCTTGTTGTATTTCTGGTATGCCCTTATTTACAATTGTCGAATAACGACTTGAATAAAAGAATAGTATACAGGCTAACTGTAAAATTTTCTAAGATTCTGTATGTTCCAAATGTAAGGTAACTGACGCCCTTGTATATCTGCTAACACGTAAGAACCAGGTCGTTTAACTTGAACAACCATATAGGGGCCTTCCCAATTAGGAGCGAGCTTGCCCATGTGCGAATGAGTGTTAGTTAATCCAGCTTTACGTAGGACCAGGTCGCCAACTTGAAACTGGCGAGCTCGGACTCTTTTATTGTAAAATTTTGCAACACGGTTTTGATGTGCCACGGTTCTTATTCTAGACATCTCCCTGACCTCTTCTACGAAGTCCAGGTTCTCTCTCAAAAGTTGCTCATTGTTGAGGTCGTCATGCTGGCCTGCTCGATCGGATGGCAATCCAACCTCTACTGGGATGACGGCTTCAGCTCCATAGGCTAGGCTGAAAGGGGTTTCGCCTGTGGCCGAGCTGGGTGTGGTGCGACAAGACCAAAGCACTTTATCGAGCTCGTCAACCCAATTAGAATGCGCAGCCAAAACGCGTGTCTTGAGGCCTCGCAAGACGATTTTATTGGCGGACTCGGCTTGCTCGTTGGACTGTGGAGTATACACGGACGTCAAAGCGAGCTCGATGCCATAGTCGTCACAAAACGATCTCAGCGCTGCTGCTCGGAACTGTGGCCCATTGTCGGCGATAATTCTCTTAGGTATGCCGAACCTGCACACAGATTAGCGAGCTGAGCTACAAATCACGTTTGCATATATTTTACGACCTCGGTCACCAAAGAATACCTACACAACACTGAATTGAACAAGAATTCTTCTATTTTTCTTTCTGTTATCTTGGACAGTGGTTTAGCTTCTATCCACTTAGTGAAGTAATCCACTGCAACGACCAGGAAAGTACAGCCTCCTTTGCCTTTGATAAAAGGGCCGAGCAGGTCGACACCCCATTGAGCAAAGGGCCAGGGAGACGTGAGAGATGATAGCATTTCCCCTATTGCAAGAGAGATACTTATGCTTAGTTTAGAGACAAACACGGAGTTTGCATGTTCTTTAGAATAGGCTCAGGTACCTGGCATGTGTATATCATCAGCATTGAACTGGCAGGTCGGATATTTTTTGACATAGTTCTATGCGTCGTCGACCATAGTGGGCCAGTAATAACCATGCCTCAAGAGTTTTCGAGCTAAAGTTTTGCCACCGATGTGTGTGCCACATACTCCTTCGTGAACTTCTCTCACAGCGTATTCAGCTTCGTAAGGAGTAAGGCAGCGTAATAGGGGCATTGAGGTTGCTCGTTTGTAGAGCTGGTTATCTAATAAAGTGAAATGTGCTGCCCTTCGTTTAATCAATTTCGCAGCGGACAGATCTTCAGGCAGCTCGCCACTTTGTAGATAATTTATGAGTGGGGTAGTCCAGCTCGATGTAGAGGGATCTGTACTGAGTAGTTGACAGTCGACTGTGAAATCAGTGTAGCTTGGTGCGTCGAGCACCTCGACGATTGTTGATCTTTGAGGGTTAATGTCCTGCGAGGAGGCCAACTTTGACAGCTCGTCAGCTCGGTGGTTATCTGCCCGTGGTATTTTGTCGATCCGAAATGAAGCAAACCTTGACTTCCATCTGTTGACCACAAGGGCATAACGACTGAGCTGGGGATCCCTGATGTCGCAACTGCCATTCACCTGGCGGACAACAAGCTGAGAGTCGCTGAAGACCTGAATGCTTTGTACCTTCAGCTCGGCCACCAGCTTCAGTCCATATATTAGGGCTTCATATTCTGCAGCATTATTGGTTGTCTGAAACTTAAACCTTAGTGCGTGCTCAGACTTGAAGCCATCAGGGCCCAGTAACACAGCCCCAGCACCTGATCCTTCGACATTAGCAGCTCCATCTACATACAAAACCCAAACTGGGTATTCAGGTACCTTTTCTTTAACAGCCGCCGGGGCGCATTCAACTAGGAAGTTTGCCACAGCTTGGCCTTTTATAGTCGTGCGCGGCTGAAATTTAAGGTCATACTCACTTAGTTCGACACTCCATCTGATGAGCCGACCAGAGAGCTCTGGCTTCTACAATATTTTCCTTAGCGGGAAATCAGTATAAACAACAATCTGATGAGACTGAAAATAAGCTCTCAGCTTACGAGCCGTACAAACTAAAGCAAAAGCAGCCTTTTCTGCTAGCGGGTAGTTCTGCTCGGCACCTTGTAACACCTTGCTCACGTAGCAGATAGGCTTCTGATGTTTATTTTCTTCCCTCAGTAGTACTGAACTCACTGCTTCTTCTGTGACCCCCAGATAAAGGTACAAACTTTCTCCATCGACGGGCTTGGACAGCAGGGGTGCGGATGCCAAATATTGTTTGAGCTCGTCAAATGCCTGTTGACATTCATCAGTCCACTGGAAGTTCTTAGGCTCCCGCAGAGCTTTGAAAAACGGAAGGCACCTTTCCGCCGATCTGGCTATAAACATGTGCAACGCAGCAACACGGCCTGTCAAACGCTGCACGTCTTTGACAGTCCTTGGTGGCTCCATCTGCTGAACGGCCTCAACTTTTTCTGGATTTACTTCAATTCCTTTCTTGGATACCGCATATCCTAGGAATTTTCCCGACTCTACAGCAAATGTGCATTTCAAAGGATTCAGCTTCATTTGTGCTCGGCACAAATTTCGAAAAGTTTCATCCAGGTCGCCAATGTGATCCTCAACTCGCACGCTGGTGACTATCATGTCATCTACATACACTTCTATGTTCCTGCCGATCTGGAGCTTAAAGATGATTTGCACCAACTTCTGGTATGTTGCTCCGGCATTTTTGAGGCCGAATGGCATCATGACATAGCAGTATATTGCGTCACCAGCGTAAAAAGCTGTTTTTTCTTGGTCGTCTAGGAACAACTGGACCTGGTGGTAACCCAAGCTTGCATCAAGAAAACTCATCCTTTCATGTCCTGCTGCCCGTTCTACTAACTTCTCTACGTTTGGCAACGGGTGAGGGTCTTTTGGACATGCGTCATTGAGATTGGTGAAATCAATGCACATTCTCCATTTGCCGTTTGGCTTCTTGACGAGCACAGGGTTGGAGACCCATTCAGAGTATTCCACTCTTCTGATGAAGCCT